AAGGTAAACAAAAATTGATAAAAAAAGACTTAAAATTTCCTCAGAAATTTCCGGTATATCGTGTATTGAAAGTGTTTTAAATGGTAAAAGAAAAAATGAGCTTAAAAAAAAAATCAAAATTCAGTTAAGAAGAAAAAATGAGCAAAAGCAGTGGGGAAAAAAAAAAAAAAAAAAAAAAAAAAAAAAAAAAAGTAAGGGGAAAGTAGAAAACAAATTAAATTGGAGAAAAAAGAAAGCGAAAAAATAAAATAAAAAAAGGAAAAGGAAAAACAAAAAGAGAGGAGAAAATGTACCGTAGGAGGAGACCCAAGAGGCTAGAGAGAGCAGCCCCTTGTCATCAGTCCCCACCCAGATATCCGCACATCACCAATATTGACCCAACAACTCACTCCACATTATTTCGTCGAAGATCCGCAGTTCGCAGCCTGTAAAGCTTCTGTAATTCGCCGTAACTTTAAACAGGTCACAGTCCACTGAGTGACTCGACAATCTCGCAGGTGTAGGCTACCTACCTACCTATTGTGAGTGTCCTATCTCAAGTAAATGGTCCTCTGAAATCTGTCTGGCTATCTGTCCTTTTCAAATGGTAGGTAATAATAAATACTATTTCCGCGTCTGAGCTCATCATCCGTCCAGTCGATGATTTGACGTACCTAGTTTTCAGTAGCTTCCGCCTGAATGGGTCCTTCCATATCTCGTGTGTGCGGGCCTGCCTGTGGCGGTCTTGTAATTGTCTTAACTCTGGAGTAGGATCTAGGTAGTCTGCTAAGGCGTTAGTAGTAGGTAGTGAGTCCCGCGTAGTTAGTAACCTAGGTAGTAGTAGTACGTAGTGGTAGTAGCCCGTAGTGGGAGAAGTAATAATATTGAGGATATGGGAATAAAATGGTCGATTTATTATTTCGTTTTTACTTTATCTTCGTTAATATTATTATTATCACCATAATTCTAGAATTATAATTATAGTCATAGCTAATCTCTCCCTCTTCCGATGTTGGTTCTCAACCTACTTTCTTATCTTATTCTAGTAATTACTTAGCTTCTTCCCTCTTGACTCTCTTCTTCTCTACCAACCTTCCCTAATAACTTGATCCTGCATCTCATCCTCGCTCTTCGAACTCTTCTGCTTGAAGCAAAACTTCAAATTTCAGAAGGACTTTTTGTTCCAACTCACCCGCGTGCGCTTCTTCCTGTCGTCTCTCCCACCCCTCAGCCTCTATCCATATTTGATTCACCTGCTTCACCCCCAAAATCGCGCTTCTGCTTCCGCATCAATATTTTCCTCCGTCATTTCCCTAAGAATTGACGCATACCTAAGTTTGTCATTTGGAGAGACAAAGAAATAGGCCAACGTTTCCTATTACACGCGACGCATTCATTCATTATCCCTTGCATCTACTGCGCCGCCCGCACCTCCCGCCCGCAACTCACACCACCATTGTCAAGATCGAAAGAGACCAGCACACGAACATTTTGACAGCTGGAACTTTATTTCTAATTTTTTTTTTTTTTTTTTTCCCACGCAAATTTGTCTTTGGACAGATGTCTCTCCGAAACACAAGAACGGCTATTCTGATCTGATCTGTTCGTCGCGCGCTTCGGATGCTTGCCGTATCCTTGATTCCTCTACCAGAATCGTGAGAGGACCAATCCTATTTGACAATCGCGCCCACTTCTAATCGCATCGCATCTTCTTGTGGGCTACTTGATACCTCCCTGCGCCACTCCACTCTTCTTACATCGGAGTTTGGTCCCAAGCGTTTTCTCTGAATCGAAGTTGTTAGAGTCCAGGCTTTCCTTCTTAGGAACACCTTACGATCGTCTGACTCCAGATCTGCTTGGTTCACCCTCCCCACACAACCGCCACCAACCAAAACAACTTTGGTGAGAAAAGGTGGCACTTCTCCTCTCCTCCTGATCATATCCGTCACACTATTTTCCTGAGACAAGCAAAAAGAAATAGTGCCCAAGTCCTCCGGTTTCAGGAAGGAAACGATTGCACATCCGTCGAGGACCTTACTCGAACCTCGAATATTGCCGCAGGACCACATAACGCTCTCCACCGTCTCGTCGCCACATCAACGCGCCGAACCGAACCGCCCTGCCTATCGACCAACCTTGCGATATATAGTCGATTGAGATTTGCTGGGCGGCATTGGCCAATAGCAAGGATTTTGAGTGAATGAGGCTGGAACACTCAAGTGACATAGAGGCGTAATGGGGTCATTAGAGGCAACTCACAGACAGAGGTCCGTATTGCCTCTTTTCCGTCCCATCATGCGCTCCGAGGCGAAGTGTTCACTGGGGAGAATATACTGATTGTGAGTTTGCTTGGTATAGGGACCATCTACCAGCCATAAGTTTCTTTGGAAAAGACGGAGCTGGGTATCCCTCGAGAAATTCGACCATCTCGTCACCAACACCCCTCGTTAGCCCGACGACCATGTATCCCAGCCAACCTTCGCCTTACTCCTATCAGTCTTCTGCGGCTAGCGCACATCCACAGCCCGGATATATCTCTCCTCCGGATTCGAGGCGGGCACCCGAGGAAGAAAAGGAAAAACAGTTGCAGCCACAGAGACAATCACTCCCTTCTATTCATGAGGCATTAAGGAACGATAGCCCTCTTCCATACCCTGCTCCACCTACATCGGCCCCTCCGCCGCAAGCACATCCCGCTCCTCCTCCACATGCTCTCGTCGGTCGATCAGCAGGAGAAGGCCCGGCCGGACCCCCCAACCCGTTCTCAAATGGAGCGCCGGCAGGTCCATACATGCGCGAACCTGCCTATACGCATCAGTCTCAGCTGCAAACGGATGCGTCGCGGTCAAGCCTCGCATCGATCACCACACAGGAATCAAGGAATCCCTCGCTACAGTCGCTCAACTCGAGCAAATCACCTACCCACAGTGCCAAGACTGGCTTGACTTCAATCGCGGGCTCGCAGACAGGACCCGGGTACGAATATACCGCTCCCACTTCCGCAGGGAGTATAGCCTCGCCCAATGGATACACTTCATATTCGCAGCCGTTCACTTTTCAGTCACAGCCTCCACCGAACGCTCCGACATACCCTCCAGCCCATCATGATACTCGACCCTATGCCGGAACGCCCTGGAAACCTGGCGCGCCAGAGCCACCACGTGTCGAGGAATTAAAAAACGGGCTGGCGGGGCGTCCTGCGGTTCCGGTACAACATCAAGGCGACTCTGCCAAGCGCCACTTGGATATTTACGAAGTGGAGACTTCACTTAGCGAGGTATGTCTTTTTTATTGCAAGGAAGATATTCTCGTCATTGGCGGCTAGGTCACTAATGAAGCCTTACTTAGATTGCCGAAGTGAGTACCCGCACTTTGGACTTTTCCCGGCACTATGCTACAAGAGCACACCAGACTCAGCGGTCTGGGCCCATGTTAGGGTCTTTGCCTTCCCTGCACGAAATTGAAGACATGATCAATCTGCAACGTCGGAATCAGGACGCTTTGATGCGGATACGAACCGCTGTCTTGAACCAGGAGCATGCCTTGGCGGAGCAGATGGCTCAAAGAAAAGCTTTCAACGCCGGTGGAGTCCATGACAGTGACCACATGGCAATGTACCAAGAAGAATTCAAGGGTAGTGGCGGATTCGCCGGCCCAGATACGAAAAAGCGACGAGGTGTAGGTTCTACCCTTTACTGTGCTTATTTATTCACCCCTTTTCTTTGGCTTGGCTGCTCGCTCTATCTTTGCAGCGGGTCTTGGTATTATCCATTGTATCCCAGAGCGTCATTTCTCCACTGGAAAAAGATTATCGCCAAGCTAACCAAGCGTCGTTACAGAAAGCTGCGCCTCCTGGTCGTTGCCACAGCTGCAACCGAGCCGAAACTCCAGAATGGCGCCGTGGTCCAGACGGCGCTCGGACATTGTGCAATGCCTGTGGCCTGCACTATGCCAAATTGACGCGCAAGATGGGCGCTAGCAAGGCTGCCTCCCTGGGTTCGAATCTGAAGCCAAAAGCCGCTCTTGATTCTGCGCCTCCCGGTACCCGATAGTCACGTGACTCTTCTGTTTTCATTTTTAATTTTTATTTTCTCTCTTCCCTTGTCCTTTCTCTCATAATTTCCTTGTACTTGTGGCGTTGAAAAAGGCATTGGGATTAGAAGTGCCAGGCGTTCTGTGTCCGAAAGTTTTGTTTGGATCACAAGCTCTCGCATCTTGGTTCTTCTCTGGATGTCACGGACAGGATGTTTTGTTTTGCGGATGGATTATCCTCACTTGATCATGTGTCACCGGCATTGGGTCTCGTCCATCTCCTCCTATTGGTTTTCTGTTTGGAATTACCCTTTCTTAATACCCCTCGCACGTTGTGAGAGAGCTACCAGGATAGACTATTTTCTTCTGTACTGGGTGATTATCAACTACTAGTTGATCTAAGATGTCTTTGTTTCCCTTCGCGGGTCGTGTTATTGCACCTGATCTACTTTTGTTTCACAACGCTATACCCCAGCTTCGACCCATGTACTCATTCCTTCAGCGGTATGCCTGCTGTCTGGAAAGGCGTTGATCTATGGATGGTTCTAGTCACTAGATTCGAGAAGATGTTAATCAATGAAACACGAATTACCGAACCATGTTTCGTGTGCCATTGTCCAGAGAATACCCTATACATAGTGCATCTTCATCTGTATCATGGTTCAGAGAAATCGCGAAGCAAGATCCACTTGGCGAGATCTGGAAAATTGCCACAGTTAAGGAAAAATAAATCAAAGATTATTATGCAGGGGCAGAAAAGGAGAGTCAAGCCAATCGTCAGTTAGTACGGAGTATTCTGCAGTTACTGGACGTTGTTGATCGCCGTCACGGGATGGATGCTGTAGGCGATGAGGCGTTGCTTGGGCCCGGGGGCGAGAGAGTTCCCATTTGTCGGGTAAGGGGTTATGATCAAAGCGGCGTTGAATGTTGTCGGCGTCCTACCAAGGCAAACTCATCGAGGCGTCGAAGCATAGAACCTTGGTAGTCTAGCCTAGCAGTCCATAAGTTACTTCACAAAAGCAACAGCAGTAATCACAATTTCAAAGAATTAGTGCTTTGTTTTAAGCCCAGCGCTTGCACTACTCTGCACAGTGTGAATACAACTTTGAAAATGATTCAATAAGTCGCTCCCTGGGCTGTGGCTCATTACGGACACTTCAGGAGGTGAACTCTGAATAGATTCATCAGACTAGACTACTGAGACTAGTTGAGTTGTGTAGGTAGTTGTCTAGCGCGCATCGGACGCATGGGCCTCGAGATAGACTTTGTCATAGCGTCGCGCATGGCGTGGATAGAGTTTCATTCCAAAAATTTGGTTTGGATGGCGTCATGGCAATACGTAGCGTCGCTGGTAGGCTACAGGCATCTGGGGGTATTGCTCATCGCTCATTGCTTTCTTATTTGATGATTTGTTATTGTATATACTGTGTACTGCAAAGTTGATTATGATGATGTTTATATAGAGAGGGTTGGAATTTCAGATGACTGAAAGTGGTATAGTGTATGCCAGCCCGATTCTGACGGGGCTCTTACAGTTACCGTACTGTAAGCAATCAATCACCGAGTCCCGAACGCCCAAATCGCGCTAGAACCCACCAGAACCATTTCAATGGGTCTTATACCGTCGATTTTGATTGAACATGAGTAATGGGTACGGAGTAGTCCTGTAATTTCGATGATTACGATGGGTACTTGGATTTATGGAGTATGGCAGAGACATTTAAGTTTAAATATGAATTCTTTCAGCTGCAAACACAGGCCATGAATTCCATGCTGGACAAGTGGCCGACCGTCCCTTCCATGTCGGGTACTGCGACTAGGTATGGACTTACATAACCGAAAGTTTCAGCCATGTTTTTAAAATACGAGCGTGAAAACCCGCCTGCCTATATCAAGCCTAGTGTCTCGATCGAATGGCATCGCATCGGATCGGATCTCATGGGATCTCATCTCACCTGATCTAATCTCATCTCGAATCTTGCATTGGTCATCGGACTGCTTTTTGCGACAAGGACTTTTTATCGGCGCTACTGCGAGACTATTGAGTGTTCTCCTGACTCCAAAAGGGAAAGTGAGTGTCGCAAGCGATTTCACCGCACAATCTAGCAATTACAAATTGGCGGCCTGTTCAACGCTATGGCAATGCGGTGTAACCTAATTTCAGCTAGTGTCTTTTGGATTCAATGGGTTCGGTCATTGCTGCTTAAACGGAATACCTCTACTGGAGCCTGGGAAGGATTGGTGAGAGGGATTTGTAATCGGGGATAGATACTTGAGGACTGGTGGGGAATTCCGGGAATTCCTATGGTCTCCTGATGACCCTGGCAGTGGGTAGTGTGGCCATAGTCAGGTACCGTCCCGCTTGACCCAAGGTTACAAATCAAATCCATCGCGTTTGGTTCGAGATTTCAGATTCGGATCTCTGCGGGATCTGACGTATTGTCAGTCTGTCACTTGGCATGGAACCAGAGTATGGCCGGCTGGCTGTCGGTGTCGGTTTGCTTTGAAAATAATGCTTCAAAGGTGAGAGAATTTATCGGGGACCTGATTTATAACCACCGGTCATCACGGTTGCCACGATACCACCGGCGACCACGCGGGAACGTGAAGGAGGAAAAGCTATCACCGAGCTCCCGCCGAGCACGGACGAAGGAAGTGGCGGAAGGAATTGTCAAATATCGACATGGGAATAATAATCTTAATTCTTGATTCTTGATTCCTGACTTGCGTCATGAACCAAGGTTATCTGGGATGAAGTCGCCTAAGTAAACAGGAAAAGAGGCACTAACATCGTAACTTAAGTTTGTAACTATTGAATATCGACACCCAATATTGCGGACGACCCGGTTCCTCGGTGCCAGGGAGCGGTGTGCTCCAGCTTCAGAGTTCAGTCTATGGTACTGTGCCTTGCTCAGTCTGGTAATAATCATCATTGAAATCCCAAGTCTGTATGCCATATGAAGTTAGTAATTGGCGATTTGTGCTCTATGCCACGACTCCCACCAGGCATGCATATCCGTGGTTTACTTGGCAAGTACCCCGTGGGATATTCCATTCCTACAGTACTCTGCACTATTCTGGTAATGGTAATGCACTGATGCATCAACGCATGGAGCTATGGCTACAGTAAAGCAGATACAAGAAACGACCATATCTTTCTAGAAGATATCACGGTGGCTGGGACAGGGTCTCCTCAAATTCCAGCTTAAACTCTGTCTGCCGCGTTTAGCTCGTTAGTAGGGACATTCGAGAGTCAAACCCCAATCTCTATTTCTGTGTTGTTATCCTGATTGGGGAAGAGTCTTGAAAGTCTTGGATAGTCTGGTTGTTAAGGGATCGGGTATTGAACGTGGTGACTAGTTTGGGTCTGACTCTAGATTGATTCCAAGGGGTAAGGGGCTATGTAGGGATACTACCTTAGCCGGCATATGTAAAGTACCTTCCTTCTTGAATTATGTGGCTGTGTGCATGGGTTCAATCTATATGGAGTATAGAGCCCGTACGTCGGTCAATTAAAATCATAGTCGTGCCTCATGCAATCATCTCCTCCCTTTGAATCAAAAGTGTTGGTCTCCATCCATGCAGACAAGGCTGCAATATTGAATTCAGTCATAGCTTGGTTGCCTTTGTCTTGGACTCTTGGCCTTGAATGGTCAAGTATGAAGAGATTGACCCACCACATATGTGTGTCGTTTTCTGATTGCTCGGTGGTGACAGCCGAAGATCAATGGGTCCCGAACGGGTAGTCAGATGGAATCTGAAGAACCACCTTGCTACTGGCTACTGTACCAGTCAAGGCACATTCCGAGGTACTTTCTGAGGCCTAGATCTCGAACCCATACTTCTAATATTTGGATCGAGAGAATAGGGTGTAGCTTCTGGTGAAGTTACCTCATGGGGACTACCTAGGTACCAGCTCGCTCAACTCAGATTACTTACTCCGTGTACCATGACCATCATCCTATCAGATGGTTACCCAACTTGCTGATCCGAATAGGAGCAGCCTGAAAAGGAAGCTCCAGATGGCACCCAAGCAAGGTATGTTCGGAGTACGCGATGGATCTATGTCTTGCTTCGATCTCTATCCACCCTACGTTGGGATCGAGTGACTCGAACACTTTCTTTGTCTTGATCCGGGAAAGTGTCTTGATCCACGGGCAATAATATGCGCCGGTAAATCAGCAGATAGGCCAGAGATAGTTAACTGCTCATGTTACACAGCAGCACGATGGCTTGGTTAGCACCAACGAGTCACCATTAAGTATGAACTTACAACGCAGATCAGCATCCCCAACGACAACGATTTTCATCGCTTACATCCGAATTCCTAATCATATAGTCATACAGGAAGCAAGGTAAGATGGCCTAAGCAACATCATCTGGGTGGTCAATACGCTGTTTCCTGCTGCACATCTGGATCTGGAGATGTGTAGCACAGTATGCGGATCTACGGGGAGGGAGGCAGATCTCAGGCAAATCCTTACGGATACTGTACGTCAGCGTGTAAACCGCCCATATAGCTGCGGATGTCGCAGTGCATACCTGCTTGCCTGTAGCGCATAAGAAGACGGCCTAATTGCTGAATGTCCATGGGCCACACCTGCCTGCAAGCACGGCGGCATATCTCACAAGCTTGGCCCAAATAGGGAAATGCAATGGATGAGAACACTGTTGAGGCTCCGAGCCTCTCATAATAACATCCAGAAAAAAATGGTGGATCATAGCACGCACGATGTCCTGCCCAACTGAGCTAAGCCAGACGAACCACAGGCAGTACCTGATACTCTCCGTCCAGAAACGGACAGGCTCGATGAGGCTTGTATTTGCAGTATCGTCTGCATGTATTTCAAATTCTTCCAGGGCGTGCGGCTGGTTGGACGGTCGAAGGCCCACGGCTCGACGGCCAATCTGCAGATGGACGATCCGGACCATGCAAGGCTACAGCTTAGCGGCATTTTGATCGATTTCCTATTGTCGTAACTCGTATGGATGGATGCTTGGCGGTATCACATCGCAGATC